TGGAAGATTATTCAATTAACTTCCGTACCAAGGCCAGCCAGAGCAACTGGAGTTCTGCAGCCCTCTGTGACGCCTTCCTCCACGGTCTGGCTGACTATATTAAGGATTGGCTGGTTTCCCATGACATTCCGTCCACATTGGATGGGGTGATTGAGCTGGCCATACGGATCGATCTCCGTATCCAGGCCCGCAGACGAGAGAAGCAGCAGGGGGTCCCTCTTTGTCTGCCGTCCGTTCCCGAGGGGGCTCCACCAGTCCCTCATCCTCACCATGGCAACAGAAGGGGGAGTCTGAGCTAATGCAGCTGGGCCACACCTCTCTCACCCCAGAGGAACGGGAACGTCGTCGCCAGTCTAACTTGTGCATGTACTGCGGGCAAGCTGGTCACTTTGTCTCCAAGTGCCCAGTAAAAGCCAAGGCTCATCCGTAACAGGGGGATACTGGTGAGCCCAACAACTGTTAAACCTCCCCGCAACCAAAGACAGCTGCTCCAAGCCTGGCTCATCCTTCCTGATGGCCCCCACATCCTGGCCCCCCTAATAGACTCTGGGGTGGACGCCTGTATCATTGACGAGGGGCTGGTTCAGCAGCTGGGGCTCAAGCAGATTCCTCTACCTCATCTGGTTCCCGCTCAGGCTCTTGAGGGCCACCATTTGGGCACAGTCACGCACCAGACCGTCCAGATTCCCATGATCCTGTCCGCCAACCACCATGAGACCGTTTAGTTTCACATCCTGGACTCACCTCGCCTGCCTCTCATCCTGGGTCATCCTTGGCTCCGTCGGCACAACCCCAACATTGACTGGGATACGGGGGACCATCCGAGAGTGGGGCACCTCCTGTCACCTGTCCTGCCTGAAGCAAGCTTCCTCGCCGCTTTACACTCCCAGCTCCAGGGCCCCGCCTGACATCTCCGGGGTGCCCCCGGAATATCACGACTTCCGCCAAGTGTTCAGCAAAGCTAAGGCGACGTCTCTGCCTCCGCATCGGCCCTATGACTGCGCCATTGATCTCCTGCCTGGCACATCACCACCCAAGGGGCGTCTGTAGTCCCTGTCCACCCCTGAATGGAAAGCTATGGACACCTACATAAATGAATCCCTGGCTGCAGGCATCATCTGCCCCTCTTCATCTCCAGCCAGGGCAGGCTTCTTTTTTGTGGAGAAGAAAGATAAGATGCTGAGACCCTGCATCGACTACCGGGGTTTGAATGACATCACCATAAAGAACCGGTACCCTCTGCCTCTTATCTCGTCAGCTTTTGAACTGCTTCAGGGGTCCACCATTTTCACCAAGCTTGACCTTCACAACGCCTACCATCTTGTCCGCATCAGAGAGGGGGATGAATGGAAGACAGGGTTCAACACCCCCACGGGGCATTACGAATATCTTGTAATGCCTTTCGGACTCACCAATGCCCCTGCCGTCTTCCAAGCCCTGGTGAATGACCGCTTCGTCTTTGTATACTTCACTGACATCCTAATCTTCTCGAAGACCCAGGAGGAACATGTTCATGTTCAGATGGCTCTGGAGGAGTGGCGGCATTGGCTGGAGGGCGCCAAGGAACCCTTCCTGGTTTGGACCGACCATAAGAACTTGGAATACGTCCAAACAGCAAAAAGATTGAGCTCCCGCCAGGCCCGCTGGTCCTTATTCTTCACTCGGTTCAACTTCACCCTCTCCTACTGTCCAGGGTCCCACAACATCAAGCCTGACGCCCTGTCCCGGCAGTTCCAGAAGGGGGAGGATTCTGCTGAGGGGTCTGCCACCATCCTTCCTCCTCCCTGTGTCATCGCCACCCTGACCTGGGATATAGAGGAGAGAGTGAGACTCGCCATGGAGGGTCAACCTGGCCCCAGCGCCTGCCTGCCTAATCGCCTGTACGTCCCACAAGCCCTGAGGTCGGAAGTGCTACAATGGGCCCACACCTCCAAACTCTCCTGCCATCCGGGTTCCCAGCAAACTCAAGACGTCCTCCTACAACGCCTCTGGTGGCCCACCCTGAAGGAGGACACCCGCAATTTTGTCAAGGCCTGCTCTGTCTGCAACCAGCATAAACCCTCCCATCAGACTCCAGCGGTATTCCTTCAGCCTCTCCCAGTCCCACATCGTCCATGGTCACACGTCTCCTTGGACTTTGTCATGGGTCTTCCTCCTTCCAACGGCAACACGGTCATCCTCACGGTGGTCGACCGTTTCAGCAAGATGGCCCACTTTGTGCCCCTGCCCAAATTGCCGTCAGCTAAACAGATGGCCCAGCTGGTCCTGCTCCACATCTTCTGCCTGCTGGTCTCCCTGTCGATGTGGTGTCTGACCGGGGGCCCCAGTTCTCCTTGGTTTTTTGGAGGGAGTTTTGTAGCCTGATAGGAGCCACTGCCAGTCTCTCCTCTGGGCTCCACCCCCAGTCTAACGGGCAGACTAAGCAGAAGAGCCAGGAGATGGAGACGGCCCTTCGCTGCACGGTCTCCCGGAATCCGTCCCCCTGGTTGCAGCAGCTCCTATGGGTGGAATACGCCCACAACTCCCTCACCAGCTCCGCCACAGGCCTCTCGCCCTTCCAGGGTGCCTACGGCTACCAGTCCCCGCTCTTCCCAGCCTTGGAGAAGGAAGTTTCCTGTCCCTCTGTCCAGGCCTTCATCCGTCCCTGTCGCCGAACCTGGGTCCAGGCATGCACTGCCCTCCAGCGCTCCGTGAGTCGTTACACTGACTCGGCCTACCGGCAACGATCTCCAGCTCCAGTCTACCAGGTCGGCTAGAAGGTGTGGCTCTTCACCCGGGACCTACCCCTCTGGGTGGAATCTAAGAAACTGGCTCCCAGGTTCATCGGCCCATTCCCCATCCAGAGGGTCATCAGTCCAACAGTGGTGAGACTGAGGCTACTGCGCACCATGTGTGTCCATCCCACTTTCCACGTGTCCAAAGTGAAGCTGGTCCACGAAAGCCCTCTGTCGCAGGCGGCCCCACCTCCTCCTCCTCCTCGCCACATCGATGAGGGACCAGTTTTTTCAGTTCTGCGCCTGGTCCGTTCCCGTCGTCGTGGAAGGGGCCTCCAGTACCTGGTCGATTGGGAGGGCTACGGTCCGGAGGAGAGGTCCTGGATTCCTGCTCGCCACATCAACGACCCTGACCTCATCTCCGACTTCCACCGTGATCACCCTGACCAGCCCTCCAATACCACCGCACCACCTAGGGGTCCCCGTCCGACGGTCCACGCCTCCTCCCTGCCTGTTCCCTCTGACATGGATCTCCCTGCGGAGGGGCCATCCGACGACGAGGGATCCCTCCACCGGACCCCCTCCACCCACCTGGCTGAGGAGATGGACTGGTCTGACTCCCAGGAGTTTTTGGCACTCAGCCTGTTCCTGCTCCACCAAGAGACCCACTTTGTCAGCTTCACCTCGCCAGCTCACCTCCTCTGGTGACGTCAGCCCCACCGACTCCGTCTCAAGGTCCGGATCCACACCCCGCCATACTCACCTGAATCCAGTTCTCTGCTGCCATCCTCGGGTTAGCTGTGTACCTGTTTTGATCTGCCGAATAAAGACTGTTTCCAGATTAAAACCTGGTTCACTTGTGCTGCTATTGGGTTTTCTCCATACCCGTTACAAAGTGATCTCTCCTCTGTCAGGCAAATTTGGAGGAAGTACAATTCAGACACTGTGTTGGTGACTGTAGAGCTTCCTACATGTTTCCTCTGCTCTCAGTTCAGTCCTGAATGTTTGATCATTAAAATAAAAAGTGCTCTGAGAACCTATTTTTCAGCGTCTGTATTGTTACAGGGTCTGATGTGGTTCACGAACATGTTTGAGATTTTAAAGTGGGCTATGAGCTAGAAAAGGTTGAAACCACTGGACTAGAACATGATTGTTCATAATGGACATGATGCTGAACTCTGGAGGGAGGTTAGCTGCAACAAGTCTGTTTCTCTCAAATTGTCAAAACTCAGTACAAGAATAAAGAAATTTGTCTCTGGTTGATGAACAATGAATGTCTTTTTCCAGGATGGCTGCTTCTTCACCTCTGACCTTCTACATGACATGTAGAAACGCTACAGAACAGGGTCTGATCACAGTCCATTATAACTAGGGATGTGGCGTTTGCATTATGGGAAATGCAGGATATCTCAGCCACTGCTGCTCTGATTCAAACCATTCTTTTGTGCAATCTCATGAGTCCCAACTTTACAGGAATGAAGCACCATGTTTCTGAAGTATCTCCAAAACTGTGTTCACTGATTGGTCTAAACTGGAAACACTGTACGCAGCCAGACTACTAAAGAATAAGGCAAGGTAAATTTATTTGTATAGCACACTATCACACACAGAGGTCATTCAATGTGCTTAACAGAAATAAAAGAAGCATAAGGATAGAAGTAAAAAAACATCATAAATCATAAAACAGTATAAAAACACAGATTATAAAATAGATAATATCTCATTAAAGTGCAATGATTAAAATATTAAATGAAGGCAGAGGAGAACAGAGCAGTTTTTAGCTTCTTTTTAAAGTCAATTACAGTTTGGGCAGATTTGACCTCCAGTAGGAGCTGGTTCCAGCAGGGGGCAGTATTTTGGTTGAAAGCGATTTCACCCTGTTTAGTTTTAACTCTAGGCTCCACTGATCAGCTCCTATTTGGCTCATATACATGGAACATTTCTGAAATATATTTAGGTCGCAGACCATTTAGTGACTTATAGACAATAAGTCAAAATTTGAATTGACCTCTGTATCTGACTGGAAGCCAGTGCAAAGACCAGAGAGCGGGAGTGAATTGCTCTGTTCTTTGTTTTAGTGAGACCCTGAGCAGCAGCATCTGAATAAATTGTAGCTGTCTAATGGTCTAATCAGGTAAACCAGTGAGGAGAGCTTTGTAATAATTGACAAAAGATATAAAAGCATCAATGAGATTCTCTAAGTCTTGGTTAGACATAAGGTCTCTGACCTTAGCTATGTTTCTGAGATGCCAAAATGCAGATTTAGTTATAACACAGGAGACATGCTGCAGTCTGAAACTTTATTGAGAAGATCAAGACCTGGCAATTGTGTGTCACTGTCCGCCAGTCAGTTAACACTCCCCCTTGGATGCCACTCTCACATTGTTCTTCTTTTCTCTGTAGGAACAAACAATACATGTCATCAGAGCTTTGAGGTTTGACTTCAGTGTATATGCGCATACGTAGGTGTAGGTGTGTGTTAGTGTTACATACCTGTTCTGCCTGCAGAGAGTACACTCCGTACTGTAGGTAATTCCATCACTGCCACATACTGGATCATACTCCCTGGTGCAGACTCCTCCATACTTTTCACATTCAGGCTGGACACAGACAGGTGGTCACATGGTTATTGATCAGACACAGACAGGTGTTTCTCTTATTCTGTCCACCTCATGTATATCAGTGAGAGTAGAGTAAATAACAAACACATCTCTGACACAGACTCAGTGTGGTACTGTTTATTACTGATGGATCAGACTGAGATTTAATACAGGCTGTATAATAAACTGGAAACTGACTCCATATCATATCATCATATGTACAGTATATCATATACTGTATCATCATAACAGGACCAGTCTCCCACACATAAATTAAAAATGATATCAGCTGATATCATTTAAAAATTTAACAAGTAGACCTCCACAGTCTCTCAGAGGAGCAAGCGTTAGTCACTTAATAGAGACATGGTTGTAGAAACCAGTCTGTCCCAGTCCAGAGCTGTTATAGGGACCAGTCTCTCCTGTGATCCGGTGTCATGGTGGTTCCCTTTGAGCTCAGCTAAGGATGTTCACTATCTCAGAAACTTAGAAACCATAACCTTAAAAAAAAAACCTCTAGACGCCAGTGCTCAGACAGCAAAATGAAACTTCTGGCCCAACATGCCTCGGCCCGAGTCTGGCCCATGTAGTTCCACATCTGGGCAGAGTCTGGTTATAAGTGTGCCAGAATTAGCCCAGACATGGAAGTATGTAGCATCTGACAATCATGGAGCCAGATGTATACTGGGCCAGATGAAAATAAGCATGTGGCCAAGTATGGGCCATATTTATTTTGCTACCTGGGTTATGACCTCTGACCTTGTCATCCAAGTCACAGTGGTAAGTGTGATAACCATATAGTATTAGTGCAGAGACATGACTATACAGGGTGTCTCTATAATATATATACAGGTTGGATGATTGATTTGAAATATCACTAAGTCCCTTCAACTGGAACCGGAGCACGTTTCCTCTGCTCACGCCTGTCTCCTCTGCAGTGTCTAACACTGTCTCTGCTTGGAAACTGAGCCATTGTTGGAGTTCCACATGTCAGCCCTGCTCTGTTACACAAGTCAGCAGTGTTGACAACACAACAGGCTGCCACACATACTTGTTTTGTTTCCTTCTCACCATTACAACACCTGACCTTTTCAAATCTGGAGCAACATCAGGGCAGGTTTCAAGAAAAAAAAAAAAAGATGAGTTTTCAGATTTTTTAGTTTGGTCACGACTTTAATAAACTGAAGAAATGGAGCTGTGTGATTCTGCAGCAGTCTCACCTCTCCGGGTTTAGCCACAGATTCTTGTTCTCCAGATATCAGCACCTCATCACTGTCTGCAAACTGAGTCGTAGTCACATCCTCCTGGGACAGGACTACACACACACACACACACACACACACACACACACACACACACACACACACACACACACACACACACATACACACACACATTTGTCTTACTGTAGTTGTTAGGACACTCAATGACATACTGCATTCCTTAGACTGTAAATTAAACCTAAACCTGATTCTAACCTGAACCTTAAAACCAAGTCCGAACCCTAAACTGGTTCTTTAGAGAAGTTAGGACAAAACACACACACATACATGCACACACGCACACATGCACACAAACACACACACGCATGATATCAGCCCTTCACACCCCTCACACAAAACCAGTCCATTGTGTACTGTAACCAGTTTTTTGTCCTCTCAGCTTCCTCTGCTTCTGTTGCTCTTTGTGTGTTGCTGTTGTTGTTGTTGTGGAGAACAATGCTGAACCTGATATTTTCAGGTGCGGCACAACTTTACTCCCTCTTCTCTGGGACTAATAGTTGTGACTTCAGCCAGTAAAACTGGACAAACCACTGCGTCCAGACCATAACTGACTGTCTGTCAGTATCTATGGTGAGACTTCATGTTAATATCAGGTACTATGCTATCTGTGTGCAGTGTGATTGGTAAATACACACAGCTGTTTAAACCAATTCACCCGTGGGAAGAACCACAGCTGAGAGAAAATGATCCACCACAGTTAAAGAGTTCTGATCTGCTGCCAAAACACTTCACCTTCATTACTTTTTCAATAAACAAACAACAAAAACAACAAAAACAACCTCCTTCTCACTTCATGACGTCAGTTTGATTTGACAGACAGACTGTTTTTAGATTTTTACAGATTATCTCTTTGTTACACTGTGATTACAAACTGTCATCTCTCAATCCACAGTATCAGTGTGGAGATAATACTGAACCTGTTCTCACTCTGATCCTTCTGTCTGTCTTGTTTTTGACGTGCTGCTCAGGAAACGCTGGAAACTTCCCTCACTGAACTGGTGGTTTAAAGGAAACTGAGAGAGACTAGAGATCACGACTGTAAACTGTGAATGGACTTACCAGAGACAGAGAGCAGCAGGACACAGAACAGGAGCACAGCCAGCTTCATGACTCCCAGTGTGTGGACGACAGGTGTGAGCTTGACACATCATGTTTTCCTTTTATATACCACCTGTTGAACTGACTTTGACCCACCCCTACCCTGCTCCTGATTGGCTTGTACTCTTTGCCTTCGTCGACTGGATTAGTTAGGTTCAGGCATGAAGAGTGATGATTGGGTATTATGATACTATACTACACTATATACAGAGCTATACTAGGGGGAAAGAGAATATAGCATAATGCAGGTTACACACAATGATAAAAATAATAATAAATTAATAAATACTATACTGACGATAGATAGATAGATAGATAGATAGATAGATAGATAGATAGATAGATAGATAGATAGATAGATAGATAGATAGATAGATACTTTATTTATCCCCTAGGGCAAATTCATGTGTCCATTAGCTCATTGTTGATAATAATAATAATAATAATAGTAATAATAACAGTTAATAATGATAATAATAATAACAATAATAATAACAGTTAATAATAAATAAACAATAATAATTAGATTAGTCCACTTCCTTTGGCTGAGGTGTTGTATAGCCTGATGGCAGTGGGAACAAAGGATCTCCTGAACCTCTCTGTTCTGCAGCACAGTGAGATGAGATGTTTGCTGCAGCTGTAGCTGCTTCTCTGTCCTGCCAGAATGTTGTGGACAGGATGGTTGGTATTGTCCAAGATGACCTCCATCTTACATTGCATGCGTCTCTCCACAACAATCCTGAGTGAGTGCAGACTCCTGCCAAGCACAGACCCAGCCAGCTTGACCAGTCTCTTTGTGTTCATGTCAGCCATGCCGCTACTGATAGAACTAAAAAGGATTATAAAGACTAATAATAAGGCTAATAATAATAGTAGCAAATATGAATGGGCTGATGCAACATCATCCACTGGCCAGGAAATGGCGCTGCAGTGACCGTCCTCCCTCAGAAACATTTATTCAAGCAGCTTATTTTGACCAAGCATCAACCTGAGGCCAGAAAATTAAGCCAAAACGAAAGTACCAAAACCTGCAGTTCTTCTAAAGACCACTAGAGTCTGGCTCCAGCAGTGAGTCAATCCCTATAGACTCCCATGTTAAAATGTCCAACTTTACAGCAGAAATAAACATGTTTACAGCCTGGTACAAAAACAGTTTTGAGTGACAGGTAGGTGAGCGTATGCTTACCACAAACCAGCATGCACGAAAGTCTCGGCTCCACACAGGCTCCACCTCTTTGTCCATTTTTAGATTAGCTGGGAGTTAGAGTTGGAGTTCACTCTGAGCTTCAAAACCGCTCTTCAGAAAACTGTGGGTGACGTCACAGAGGCTCAGCCATCTTTATTTACAGTCTGTGGTTTTGACCCACGATCATGTTTTATTGTGAAGAGACATCCAGTAGTCATGTTATACTGCATCCGTTTTTTTTCAGCAAATGGCCCAAAACAATGATAATATGTTTGAGTGACAGTGCCCTTGAGTGGCTGTAGTAATTATAACGAGACAAAGGAGGAAGTCAGGTGATGAAGTTACAGACCCACAAAGTGCGCTAACGCAGGTGCATGGTCAGGATGGATGGATGGGTCGACAGAACATCGGACTCTAACACAGGAGGCCGGGTGTAATGTTTCATCATGACAGACTGAGACAGCAAACAGCTATACGATGTGGTTGCTATCATTGGCTTATCACAGTTTTAGGCCTTAAACATGAGAAAAAACAGTGTGATTTTTGATTGATTTTTTAAACATTTAAAAACATTATTGATCTTTTTACCAAAATTGCAAGTCATCCTCCAACCTGAACAACCATGCAGGTTGTTTTTTTCAACCCTCTGATATGAACCATACAAGTGTCTCCTGAAATAGCGCCTCTACGGCGGCAGGTGTACCGGACCTTGGTTGTCCTGGTTACAATAATAAACACGCAGACTGTACCTACCACGCCATGTACCTACCTTTGTCGACATGGTTGCTATAATAACAGTCATGGCTTAGTTAGGTTTAGGAAAAGGTCCTGTTTTGGGTTAAATGTTATTCAACATTACACAGTCTTTGTTCTCATGGTTACAATATAAACATCTACTTTCACATGGGAATTGGACACTGCTCTCCTGTGTCATATTCATCCATCCACCACAACCTCCTCCAGACGTGGACTTTGTCTCTTTTTATACTACGTCGCCACACTTTTCCCATTGCTCCTTTCATTATTACTTCGACCAAGATGTCACCTAGCAACAAAACATAAATATGGGTCATAACAACTTGCTTCACAGACGACCTATGGGCTCATTTTTTTTTTTACAGGTGGGCTGTCTCTTTAAATTGTACTCTTTAGGAAATGATTTGTAGGTCCACTTGCAATACCTTCACAGCCCACCAGTGGGCCCCGGTCCACAGGTGGGAACCAAGGCTCTATCTGTACTAAACCTAGGCCTACTGGTTTTAGGGCAATAAAGAAATCATATCTTCAGTATTTCCAAACCAGAGTTTCACTTCCAGCAGTGCATCATTTTACTCCCTTGTGCTGGGAAAAAAACATTTACAGACAGTATGAATTACAAGTAACAAAAACTCTAGGTAATTTAAAAAGACTTTATGTGGTCATGTTTTCTGGTAGGTGGGGTGCTGTGAGCATAGTCTCTTTAAAGTCCTGGTCTGTGTCCTTGCTGTGACACAGCCTCTGGAGCCTATTACAAACCTCACTGTGTTCCTGTATATCTGATAAGCAAGTGTCCGGATTGTGTTTGATTTGCTCACCTGTACTTGAAGCAACACGCCCCTGCACCAGTGTGGTCCACACCCTTAAGCTGCATTCATGCAACGTCAGCAGAATTAGAAGAACCGGAAAAACTTCTGACTTGGAAATGTTCACACATTGTTCCATCATAGTTCCCTCCAATGCTGGTCTCAGTCACACTGTGTAAACCAGACCAAAGCAGCTTTGTTGTGTTACATATCTATAGCTAACAAGTGTAACCAGATACAAAACAGTGAAGGCCAACAGCTCATTTTGAATCTTTTGTTGACTTCAGTGTATTAATATTGATACTGTCTCACCAAGTTAAAGAATCTGTCACTCCTAAATATTCCTGACCTAAGGTTGAAGTGACTGTTTATAATGAGAACAGACATTATCCTGCTCCTCCCTTCCTGTCTACCCAGTTTCAGGAATCAGATACACCTTTTACAGTAGTGTATCTACAAACCAATGCCCTGTCATGAGATACATGAAATATACGGTCTAAATGGGCCCTTATTACGTTAATGTTTTCACTATGTTATCAAAAGTGGATATAAAAGAAAGAGGGGGGAGGGGCAATTAAAAACGAACTGAACACTACATGTGGCAGCTGAAAAGGCTGAAACTGGTGCCTGTGAAACGCTGTGGTGGACGTTGGGCCGGCAGAGACATGACGCAGCCTGGTTTCCCAACGTTAGTCGTAAATACCACCTGTAGGTGCATTCACGGGCTCTGCGGTCGAACAAGACAAAACACAGATCACGTACAAATTATCACACAGTCCTCGGTCATTTTATGGTTGCTTCGTTTAATTTGACATTTATAATCTGAGGCAAATAAAGACGCACAGGAAAGCAAAATAAAATATAGAATACACACAATGGATACTGATTGGGCCGCTTCATAATAATTCTTCTAACCAAAAATAGCTGCATAATAAATCCCAATTTTAACTGTGCAGTTGTTGACTGGATACACTATGCGCATAGAGAATACAATTCCGTCCCCAGTTACAATGAGGCTCTGTATATAACCGGGCGTTCATGCCTGTTGATTGTCTTATCTCCGACAGCACGTGAAGGCGTTCTGGGATATCTAACCTTAGCTAATCGCCTCCAACGGAAACCAGCTGAGAGAAAGGGTAGAGAAGACAAGATGGCGGAGTGAGTGGGTTGCGCTTTGTACAGACGGTTGCGACCCTTGAAGTTTGTCGAAAACGACCGAAAAGGGACTGAAAAGATTGAAAAGCCAACGATACAATCGGAAGTGTAATCGAAAAGGCACCCTTTGCCCCTCAGCACGGAGGAGGTCCGGAGATTTTTTCCGCGGCGGTCCTTGCGACAGCGTTAGCTTGATGCTAACGTTAGCCAGCGTTATATACGACTAGCTGCTACTTCGAGGTAGCTGGGTGGTTGTCGAAGGCCGTAGGTTTTTCGGATTTAGTTGTGGATGTATATATTTCGACACTGACACGGCATTACGTGTTTCTCGGATGAGGTTTTATTTGAACACAGATCCTTTGTAGCTGGTAGCCTGTGATTAAAGGGAATAACGCCAGGAGAAATCTATTTTCCAGCTTACCTGTTCCGTTCGTTGTCGATATTATTATTTGGAGCAACAGCTAATCCATAATTACCCCCGTCGACACCAAGTGGACACCCAGGTCTCTGTATGTTCTGCTGACGATCGGGCCAGACTGCCACACAGAATTTCCTAAAGTGAATCAGGAGGAAATCGTCTTTTGGTGGATATTATGGCGAGCAGCAGTGGCTCCAAAGCCGAATTCATAGTCGGTGGAAAATACAAGCTTGTCAGAAAAATCGGATCGGGATCTTTCGGCGACATATATCTGGCCATCAACATCACAAATGGAGAGGTAATTTACTGCATCAACATATATATATGTGTGTGTGTTCTTGTTGTACAGTTTTTCTGCTGGGACACATAATGAGTCTGAAGTATCTGAGGCAGATTGCAACACGGCTTTGTAGGTTAGCAAGTCCTGAGCTATCAAGCTGTTAAATTGATTTGGCTAAAGCTGCTTCACGATTACAACGTGTACCAGGATATTTAGTCTGTACTGTAACTGACGCAGTGAGCACGGAGCCGTACATACCAAAATGTAAATGTTATTTTTTTGTGTGCCCTTTTCAGGAGGTAGCTGTAAAACTGGAGTCACAGAAAGCCAGACATCCACAGTTGTTATACGAAAGCAAGCTGTACAAAATCCTACAAGGTGGTGTTGGGATCCCTCACATCAGGTAAGGGGCAACCTTTTCACGTGCTGTCCTCATTGACAAAGAAGTGACAAATTGTTATGCCATCAATATTAGTGTTGTTTGCTTTGTAAAAAAACACAACTAATGTCGAAGTGGCAGCAACCTTGTTGGCAGTAGGCCTGCTAATCTGCATTAGGTTACTTAGTCGATTCTACTGACGATGAATTTTCCGCGAACACTTCAAAATCCCGTCGAGTTTTCACTTTACATGTCAAGTTGCTTTGTGTCGCCCGTGTTTAGACCTAGTGTTGTTCTTTTAACCTGTCTACCAGCTGCCAAGGCTGAGGAAAAGCAACTATGTGGTTGGAAATGGCCGCTCCTCTTTTGTTGTGTTAGTTCCCAACATGTCTTCCCCTACCCTGTTAGAAAATGGCGGCGGAGCACAGAAGCGAAAACAACCATCCGAGCCCCACAGTAGAGGTGTCTTTTAACCGAGTGATTTCAGCCCTTGTATGGCCCTGCTTTACACTGTAACATCACACAATTTGTTTGTCGTATTGAAGTGTGTTGAGAGTTGGGTATAGCCCCACAGAGCATGTGGTAATGTTGGAGAGACTCGCCATATACTACAACATATATACCATGTTTGAGTGGTCACAATGTTGTTTTACCTTTCACATTGTTAATGTTGGACATTTTAAACCGGCCTGTCACTGCAGAGCAGCTGTTAACACTCATGAAGCCTGTGAGTTTGTCTGCTCATTTTTTGAATAATAGGAGACGGTTGTGTATGCGCCTATATTAAGGAAGACAGTAATACTGGCCCCTAGCTGTAGAAAAATTGAAGTACTGTAAACTTATTGATATGGTTTTGTGCACACTGGAACAGGGAAGTAGTACATGAGAAGTCATTTGTAATCAATGCAAGTTCGTGTAGGGAATAAATATGTTCATATTTATTGTATGATTTTAACATAAGGATACACATCAAGAGTTGAAGTGACAGTATTACAGTTTCCTTCCCTGTGTTTGTGACCCCAATTTATTTGATTCACCAGTCCCACACAAAATCATTATCATTCCTCTGTTACCCGTAATTAGTCCTTTTTTAATGTTTGTCATTCTCTTTATGGCCACATAAAGACAAAACCTGTGAAATTCACTACTGTGATATTTTAAGCAGGTTATACTCAGCATTAATCAGCATTATCATGGTTCATCATGTGTGTGATCAATTAGATTACAGATTCTTTGTACCTTTTTATATCTTTAATACCATTTTTGGGAAAGTCGGATACTCCTGGGCTTAATGAGCTAATTTACAGATCTTTACATGTTTTTGAAAATCTAGAAAAGTTCATTTTACATTTCTCACAAACTATATATTATTGATATAGCTGTCAGATTATACATTGTTCTGTCGTTGATACATTGTTCTGTCGTTGTTGTAAAGATGAATCATGCTACAGTTTTAAGACAAGGTAACGTCCTCTGTATCTGATTGAATAGCTAACAGAGAAACAGGCTGACTAACAGTGCTAACATGTTTGACCATATACAGTATACAGTACAGCTGGCATATGGATGAATAGAGACAATGACTGTGGCTCACTAAGGCATGGTGACTTGGTTGAAACCTGAACGCTGAACACACACACCTTCTTTACAGTTAGACCGGCTGTAAGCTAATTCCTGTCATCGATATAAGCACACATTGCTCTGATGCCATTTGTGCATTTTTATGTGCAGTTCTTGGCCATAGAAGAGTCTCAGTGCTGGTAACTGAAAAGACTTGTTGTAGACACCAGGAAGTGAGTTGTAGTAATGTGTTGTAAAGCTAGCATCACTATGATTCATAACAGCTATAACTTGTGACCAGGGGAACTCAAAGAACAAAATCAAAGATGTTTGTAGCGTCTGTTTTGAAATTTGGTGAGCACATTGTGGAGCTGTATTCAAACATTACCATATGCCATGTGTATTGCTGCTGCTGTTAGCATGCTGGATGGAAAATGGTAGCCTTTTATTCCTGACTATAAACCAGATTTCCTCTCACAGGACAATGAATATCAGCTGAGGCTCAGGAAGCCAGTTGTGCTTGTGGTTATTTTGGTCCCTTTTTTTCTCTGCAACTTTTAAAGCAAAGCTTTTTTCACCTTTACTGCTGAACAAGCAGGGACTGTTCATTGAATCTTTGTACTGGTGGTGTTGGATTCATGTTGCAGCAGAGTCTTGTTAGAGCCTGACAAACCTGCTGGTCCTGCTGCCCCTCCTCCACTCTAACTTCACCCTGCTTTACTTTTTATACAGTCACCACCTACTGTAGTTACTCATTATGCTCTGCTGTTCCACAATGACTGAAGCATTTGGTTCTAGTTTAAGGAACCGGGTCTGTGGTCAATAAGAATTTTCCGAAGTTGACAGAACTCATTTACCTTGTGTAACACACTTCAAACAAAGTGTGTGAGTGTGGCTGAGCTTCCCATTCTCCACAAGATGACAGACTGGCTGTGTCTGAAATCACTCACTGCATAGTTCACCATATAGTGAGTTCACCATTTTGTAGTGCTGTCTGAATGTATAGTGAAAATTATTGTACCCTACATAGTGGACTTATAGTATCCCAACAATGCATCGTGAAAAGTGTACAACCAATGGTCACCAACCAAGCAACGTATACCATCATACAAAAAAGAAAAGGCGACAGCAGATGAGCAGACGGGGCAGCTTGAAAATGTTTAATGTAAGCGGAGCATCACAGCATACATGGCCCCAAGACAAGTGTAGCACATTCCAACAGGGTCATTTGGTGCATTTACATAAAACTTTAAGTGTAAAACAAACACATTGTAATGGACATTCAAGTCCAATTAAATATAGTTATTAAAGACTTCAGAGATCAGAAAATAAAAGTTTAAATAGAATGATGGATGAAATATGAGAATAAAAGTAAGTGTGAGAAATGAATTAACAGCCTCAAATGTGATTTAATAAATGGCAGTGACAGAAAAGTTTTCAGCCGTTGTTTAGAAGAACTGAAGGTCACACCAGAAACAAAGAAATGCTCAGTATTATATCATGTATTTATGACAAAATCACATTTATTCATTATAAATGATTCACCAGTCGACATTGAGATGACACATTTTAATCATGTGACATCAATGACATAAGTAACGGTGCAGAGAAAAGACCAACGTAATGTCCCAAAGTGTTTTTTCATTTTGTCATGATAGTCCTCTACATAAAAGTCCTTAGTTGGTGATCTGTGAATGAGTGGTTGTGGACACAACCTTGGGTATTTAAGATTTAAGATATTTACCATGATTATAGTCTGTGCATTTCAGCTTTTCTCTCTCTGGTAATATTAGAATATTATAATCGAGGATCATGCACCATTTGTACCAAGCAAAAAGCAAGTGATTGAATTGGAGCACATGCTGATTAGAGTTGTGTTAGTGTCAGATTATAACACTTTTCATGATCTGAGAAATTGGACTGTCCCTGTTCTCCTATAACCCCCCCCGACACAGGTCTGATCTGTGTCACAGTGTCTCTGACACAGTCAGGGTGCATAGTGTTAAATACTTGTGGTAATGCAGGAACGAATAATTGCCAAATCACGGGTAAGAGCTAGTCTCATCCTGACTTTGAAACACACCTTCTTTTCATGATGACTGCTTGCAGCAAACTCCATTGTGCTCTGTTAAATACTGTATTGGTGAACAGTGAAACACACACTGTTTGTAAAAGGGAAGGTTTAAATTTCAGTTTTACTGTTTATAACTCTAAAACATCACAGCTCTTAGTCAGCATATACATACAGAAATTTGTAATTGTCTGTTAAATAAAGCCACATGTGTTGAACTACCAACACCTAAGACGTTTTACATCAGCTGACTCTTGGAGCTGCATAGATTGCTTCACTTTGTTATCTTGTTTGATGTTGTAGAGAAGTTGAAATTTGTTGAACTAGTTATCTGGGCAGCTGTATTTGTTACTGCTGTGTTTTGTTTTGAGGCTTGTTGATCACATTTGATGTTTTTTCACACACAGCACCACAGCGTTCACATACAGATACATGATGGTCAGGGTTCTAACGGTGTCCGAGGGACATGAGAGCATGAGGTCTTCTTAGGACGCCTCCGGGGCAACAGGGGTTTTATAGATCATTAATTTATTTTAAACTATCGCTTAGCAAATGACAAACTGAACCGAGCACTGACCAGTGACCACAATTTAGTGCGTCTTCTCATGCTGTCACTGAGCTTGAGACCTGAAATGTTTGGGTGCAAAACTCAGCGTATTATCCCTTCAGGCACTGCGTGTTGGCAGGACCTCAAAAATATAAAACTCAAAATAACAGAGTGACCACAAAGAGGACATCGAAGCCTCTGCAGGAAGTGATCCTTGCTCCTGTAATGAAGCAGCGAAGTCAACAACTGCTTCTGTTTCTGCTGCATAGTGCTTGACCACAACCTACACTCCACTTGTCCACAGGAGCCTGTTACAAGTAAATCAGTGCAAAACTGGTGAACTGAGTGAACTGTGTCCCATAAGGACAGTAATAATGACAATATACCAGATGAATTAACAAGATACATACATTTCGGTGTAGACTCTAATTACATATGAATCTATCTCCTTTGCTTTCTATTTAACTGTGTGTCTTAGCCCCTCCCCTCACACATGGAAGAGGTCAACAACTCGTTACATTAAGACCAATAAAAGCTTTCCTTTAAGTGTTATATACTCCTCAAGAACTAAAGATGGACAGACGCTGACCCCAAACTTCTGAAAGTCGGGACAAAATATCAGCTTTTTTTAAACTGAGTGGTGAGGATGTATCTGTCAACAGGGAAGCTAGTCCTAAGAGCACCAGCAGCTCTGCCACAGCTATAGAGGCCGACCCTGACCGTCTCCGAAGACTGAAGATTTAGTTTCACAGAGGCAATCAGGGATGTCACTATGCCCGAAATTTAGTAGTCGATACAAATACCAGTGAAACTCCACGATTCTTGATACCTATTTCGATACCACGTTAAATTAGAAAAAAAAAAACACGCACACAATAAATTCCATTTCACCCCTTGATTGAAAAATACGAATAAAAAAAACAAAAAAACAAAGAACAGTGGCATGTAGCCTTCAAGAATTTAAAATAAACAATACTGTACTAAAATATAAACAATCAACTTTTAATTGCACAGCTTTTTAGCTGTAGTGCCCTGAGACAAAGAAATGTGGAAATAATAGATATAATAAAATGAAACAACTATTGACATAGCAGAAAAGAACAGTGGCATGTAGCCCTCAATTATTTAAAGTACACAATCCTTTGCTAAAATATAAGCAGTAAAGTTTTTATTGCACAGCATTTCAACTGTGGTTTGGAAAGTGCGAAGGCACCGTTTACAAACAGGCTTTTGCGGGTCTATAATCAACCCTTCATCATCCGCCTCGAAAGCAAAATATTTCCAAACGCGACTCTTCTGGCTTTTTCTTTCGACGAGCCGAGGTGCTGCAGCTGGACCAAGTTGTGTGCCTGAACTTGTCGCCATCTTCCACTTGTTATTGTGGCTAGACTGCAGCCTAGTAGTGGACGTTCCTCATCCTCCCTTTGGCAGAGGCAGAGCATGTGCCGGAGAAACTGCTCATGTGTGTTCCGAGTCACTCAAATGTTGCCAGTGATGCAGAAGCTAGTGTTAATGTTCTTTTACACACGTTTTTGGTAGATTACTGCCACTTTTGAGGTAAAACACTTTTGCACCATGAGATAAGTTACTCATACAGTTAATGACATCCTGCTTGTGCACAATGCGACCTAATGCGCAAGCGGGCATGATGAGCACTCATTCAACTGCCTCCCTAAATAGGATATGTTACTTTCCTAAGAGAGTGACTATCAATTTTCAGTGCCTTCGATACCACGAAAAATCGGGTACCGTCCCGTTTTTTTACCTCGGGGCATCGACTTGGAGCCAAAGTATCAGTTCTGGTGACAATCCTAGAGACAATGAGCATTCTCGTCATCGACTACAGTAAAAAACCTAAAGTCTGTTGGATTGTCTCCCTTGTGTCCTCTGCTCTGAAGTCACTGTGCTGTTGCTTTGAGTGTTGAGTGCTGCACCGCCCTCGAGCAAACAATTCAGCACAACCGAAACTTATCTACTGAAATGCTGTGATTGGAACATAACAATAAAATGTTCTTATTGGCCAATAATATATAGTCCACCAATATATTAAGCATCTCTGATGATGTAACAGGTACTGAAAAAGTGACTAAACAAGTTTTCCTTGTTTATAAGAAGAGGGATAGGGAAGAACGAAGCTGACAGTATTGTTCTGGCCTGTCCTGCTCTCTGTGATCATACACTGTGTTTTTATATGATGATATAGTGATATAGTTGTTCTCACTGACACATTCTTTGGTTCTTTTTGTCGTCGGAACTAGTGTGACGTGATGGCGTTTATGATCTTATTGCTCTTTTAAACTTTATGGTTGTTGCTATTTCAACAGCTCAGCACTTTGTTTTAAATGTGCTTTATAAATAAATTTGACTTACAAATTGAACAAAAATCCAGGTTTATCAGGTGATCGCCTTCGGGTGTCATCCATCTCTGATCCACTGAGCATTAGACAGCAGGTCGGCAGGTACCTTGAAGTCTGTCTGAATCATTCTTTGTCATTGTTGTTGTTGTTAACTCCTGTTGTCTGTTTCAGTGTTGCTCCTCTTGCTCAGGTCGTCGACCTGTCTGTCCACAAAAAAGTTTTTAAGTTGTGCAGAGTGATGGAAAAGCAAACAAACTACATTTCCCATAATGTATTTCACCTTCCCATGTGTATTTCAGGGAATCACAATGCATTTTACCAGTAACACATCTAGAAAACAACAACATCAGCATGTAAAATGCGCCAACATTACATCTGGCTGTAAAGCGTGAAGCACGCAGATGTGGCTCCTGGTCTGAATGGGTGAAATTGAAATTTAAACGACTCAACTAGTCTGAAAGAAAACAGTCATGAAAGTCAAAATTGAGCACAATTTAATCAGGATCACATTGTGTGCAGGTAAATGTCATATAGGGTGTGGCTAACATTAGCAGTGCTAGCACCAACAGCCATCTTACCTTGCAGGTTAACTTCCACATGCCTGTGTTGAATGTGGTTACATGTTGCTCTGGTCCAGTGGTTATAAGCCAGGTTATTTTGACACAGTTACTCACAACTGTATTTTCATTCTGTAGAAATGCTTAAAATGCTGCCAAACCACACTGGTTTTACAAGAAGTCACCTGTCCCACTTTCCAACATCCGGGGGGGGACTGAGTTTGCGCCATGAACAAATAAAATATTAATTAGTTTAACTGACTAGTATTTGTGGTGCAGACTATTGTGTGTAGCAACATTTAATCATTTAGTTGACTAATCTCATACATCGCTATGCTTGTTAGTCAATTTAAACTACTGCTGTACACTGACTTTATGGAAGTGTGTGTGCGTGTTAGCACAGTTTGTGCACAGCAGCCTCTGTTTTCTGTTTTGGGTTTTGCTGTGGCATCGAACTCAGTATTGAGAATCATTGCATTTCATTGGTATTGGTACCGACGACCAAATCTCTGGTTTCTGTTGTCCTTTCTACTGAACGGAGATTTCCTCAGGGAACATGATACTTCCTGTGCTCTATATGTATTTCCAAACGTCTCCTATTCTGTTTGCATTTGTCAATTTAAAAGGTTTTATTTCACCTCATTTTACATTTGTGGACTTTTTATTTATTTGAGTTATGAATTAATTGATTGTCATATATAAATATGATAATCTATATATATGATTTTTTTTCCTCATTTAGTGACCAAGCAGCCTGCTGACCTCCACTAATGTTCGTTACTGTGACATGTCTTTCATATGTTGTCTGCTGTGAGCTGTTTGACTTGTATAACTTTTGTCATTGTTCATGGGCAACCACACTAGTTTCAATGAAGTTACGTAAAGTGATAAAACACACATTTCTTTCTTAATACATGTGTTAGATTGGAAACCAACAACAAACACACACTTATATCACTGTTGTGTCACCAGGTGGTATGGCCAAGAGAAGGACTACAATGTCCTAGTTATGGACCTGCTTGGACCCAGCCTGGAGGACCTGTTCAACTTCTGCTCTCGCCGCTTCACCATGAAGACGGTCCTTATGCTGGCAGACCAGGTAGCTAAGACATACACACACTTCTACAGTCTTCTGAAGCAGTGATCAGCCTGAGGGGGAGGGGCTGAAACCTAAATCTTGTATTAAACATGCCCAGGGCTAAATTCTTAAAGATAAGCTCTGACGTCATTGGTTCTGCTCTCAGTACTGGAGAAATTAAGAAAATAATTTCCTATTAATTATTGCTACATAAAAGTAATCTTGCACATTTTAGCTCATCAACTCTGTTTCTGATGAAGACATTAGTCTGTGTTTTCAATTTTCCCAGTCCAGAGCAAAGATCTCTCTGTCAGAGCCTGAGTGTCAGGGGTAGGGGCAGCAAACTGCAAACAGTAAAATTAGTTTCAAAGAAAAAGTCCTGGTGGTAACTTGTTTATTACATTTTTGTTACTTCTCTACCACAAAAGCCGAGTCTACATTACTGAGCATTTTTGTTTCTTTTGCTGTAAAGAATTATTAATTTTATGTATTTTACACTTCACATCATAGAATAATAGTGATTGTTCAAAACAGTGCTGTTGGAGTTTGCTACTCAAGTATGTTAATCTGTACACGTACATATGAGAAAATAAAGCAATTTTAAAACTTTTTTTCTCTCTTTTAAAAAGTAACAAAAAGAACAGATATGGATCAATGAGCAGTATCAGCACCAATAAAATCTTAAAGGGATAGTTCTGGTTTGATGTGGGGTTGTGTGAGGTGCTTATGAATAGTCGGTACATTACCCACAGTAGTTTATGTTCAGCACGCTCCCAGTTAGGAAAGCCGATCAGGGGCACTGGCAGAGTGGCAGGGGGTGTTGCGGTGCACAGAGCCACAAGAAAAAACGTGTTTTAGAGACTAAAAACGCCCATCGACATAATCCAATATCCGTTGAAATGTAGCTTGATGTAGAATATTTTCAGCGGTTTATCTTCTCGTGAAAATAGCACTTTCCTTTGGCACTACATTTTTTCAACCGCTGAACTACCGTATTCCTACATACAAGTGCATCTACAGAGTGATTTGCTGCTGCAACTGGGAGCGCGCTGAACAGAATCTACTGTGGGTAATGTAACAAATATTCATGAGTACCTCACACAACCCCACGTGAAATAACCCAAACTATCCCTTTAACCTTCACAACCCCAATGAGGAGATAAATACAAGTCCAGCAAGAAGGTCCTGGTTCCAACGTGCCTGTGTTTGTCTATGTAGAGTAATGGACTGTCCACACCACAAACTGTAACCATAACAATAACAACATCCACACTGAACATATCATTTTGTAAACACTGTATTATAGATACTGTTTGTTTTATCAGACAGGTGGGTTTTTTTTTTTTTTTTTGAGTTTCTTGACATGGTCATCTGCCATGTTGAACTGATGACCTATAAATTCGAATGTATTTTGCATTTTGTCAGTGTTTCTGTTGTTCATCAAATCACTCTGAAAGGCATTGCCCCTGTCGTTGATGTTACAGTCGTGGTGTGGACTCCTCCATAGAACGACTTTTAAAACTGTACGTTTCTAATTATGGTTGTTGTTGCTGGTAAGGATGTCCCTAACTGTGATCTGTGCTTGGGTTTCCTGTGGGTTCACAGTCCAAAGACATGCAGGTCTTATGAATTTGAAAAAAAAAAAAAAAATGTCATAGCAGGAAAGTAAAAATGTTAACCAATAATACTAATAATTCTGTATTAGCCATGATGTTGTGCATGCTGCTTCATTGGCTTGGCTCACTACAATACTTAAATCAGTGTCAGGAGTTAAAGGTGTTGATCCAGTTTAACGGATGACAATGTCCTCAGTGAAAAAGGTCTTTTGGTGACTCTTAATTGTCATATTTATAAATCGTTGTGAAAGCATCTGTGTGAACATCCTGTGTAGGATGTTGTCCCTCCTACACAGGATGAGTTGTTTGTTTACATATTTTAATTATTTGAGTTGACAGGATGGTGAAGAATAATGACTGAAATACTTAACCACAACCTTCTTCTCATCTTCAGATGATCAGCAGAATTGAGTATGTACACACAAAGAACTTCATCCACAGAGACATCAAACCAGACAACTTCCTCATGGGCATTGGCCGTCATTGTAATAAGGTAAGACCTGTCCGGACCCTGTACATACTGTAAGCATGGTTTCTGAAGGTCTGTGTAGAGCTGTTGGCAGACAGCTGCATGTCATTGTAGCCATGTTAACTCCACAGTCCTAATCCCAAACTGACCCACAAATTTAGTCTCAGTAATGGTGATTTGTCCATGGTGATGTCATATCTATACTTACTGCCTCTGAAAGAACCTCTTCATGGCAGCAACCTGACCCACCGTCACTGCTGCTCCAGAGGAACCTGGTAATTGGCCCATGGTCCATGGCATGTTATTGTAAGCCTGCAAACAGTATCAAATGTCACATGTTGCTCACTTCTTAAACTGAAGGCAACACAATGACAAAAAATGATGGTTATAACCCTTTATGAGAAATAGACTTTAGAGGAGAGAGGGCATAACTAATATATCAAAGCTTTCATGATAGCTTTACATTCATGGTCCAAACTAATAAAACAAAATCTGTTTTAGCCCTGCATTCGGCAGCTTATAGTCAAGTTTCCATGGATTCAATACTTGCCACTCAAGTTTTATTCAAATCAGCATTATGAATGTCTGTGTCATAAGTAAGATTTCTATAGGTTTTTTTCCCACAGGTTTCATTATCAGTATAAGTTTTATCACATCAAAGTTTGAATGTACCCCTGCATGTCAGCCTCAAAGAATAGATATGAATGACAATTACAAGACATGATTAGCTATTAGCCAGTTATCAGTAGAAACCAGGAACGATAGCACATTTATGTGACATATCAACTGTAAGGTTCTGTCTGCATTGGACTGGTTCAAAGTTTTCATCTTCGTAGATGACAAAACTAACTATAGTAACGTTCTTATTTCTCAAAATAACAGGCACCATTATACTGATGACTAGATACTAAATATATTGACAAAATAGGCAAATAATCCAGAGTTTGCACTGGAGTTAAAAGTTGTCTCAGACTAAAAATATCAGAAGAATGACTCAGCGTCAATTATTGTTGATTATTCACTTTTAAAGGATTTTTTATTTTTTAGGTTTAAAAAGTAAATCTTAACTCGTATTTGGTTGACACTGCTATGAGTCAACCAAGAGAATATTTTTGTGTATAATGTAAATATAAATGTAAGCAGCTATTTTCAAATAGTTTTCCATAAAACATTTAATTCACCAGTGATGTTGTGATCATACAGTGAGTCACACAGTCCAGGTTTTGTAAGTGAGATCCCTAGGTATGTGAAGCTCTGTAATCCCTCTTCACTACAAAGAGAATAGTTCTGATGTAACCCAGAGGTTGCAGGGTGGTGGAGTCCAGTTTCTTTGTCCTGGATTCTGCATGAGGGACAATGACGCTGGTTTTCTCACACAATAAAAACAAGGAAGCGATTTTGTCTACTTGTGATGTCATTTTTTGCACCAGATGTGTGTATAATCAAGTTGCCTGACATCAAAATTGAATATTTTGTGCCCATTATTTTGAGCCTTGCAGACAGGCAACGTTTGGTTAAGTTAAAGCCTGGGGTGTACATTTGACCATCTTCCTAAAGAGTGTATGTGTGTGCGTGCGCGTGCGTGCTTGCGTGCATGCGTGCGTGTGTGCGTCTGCTACAGAGCAGGTGTGCAATCATAGCCCAACCCCCACTGATGTGACAGCCTTCCACCCCTGACACTGCAGTCCTGCTGTTTGTTGCAGACAAACATCCATTAACATAGTAAACACTAAGTCTAATATGGACTATTCAAATGTAATGGGACTGTTTTTAATTGAACTGTGTAGAGGATTATTCCAAAGGGGCAACATCCTGGCAGAATGATGGGTTACTTTAGTTATGCAGCAGATTATACTGAATGTAATGACTGCTTTCTAAATGTTTTACCTTATTTTAAACCTGTGGGGCCACTTTTTACTGTGACACAGAAGTTATTGGTCCACGTTAAAGTAGGTCAGAGACACAGTTGGAAGTTGAAACAGAAGTACCAGTACTTGGTCTGAGGATACTGAGCAGCTGTGAGCAGAAGACCTGGGCCAGTGCAAAGCATTTGACCAGCAGCAGTTTTTTTTTGTTTTTATGCCACAGATATCTGACATACTCTGAACTACATGAGCCCATCATTGGATGAGGACTGGCTGAGGCTTGAATGTGTCCATATTTATTAATGTCTATGCCAGGTGACAAAGTTTGTGCAGCGTTGTAGATGTTTTTGAAACAAGGAATACAAATGTTGGAGTCCAGAAGCAAGCAGAGAACATGCATCTGACAATGACATGACAATTTCAGAAGTTGCAGTCCTTAGTGTGTTTGGATGGCATCAGCTCTGACTGTGCATATTGTAGGATGTTGTGTGTCTTTGTTGCAAAATGTTTGACGCATGCAAACATGCAGTATTAAATGTAGAGGGAGCAGAGCTGTGTGTTATGGCGTGGCTGTGTATGAAGCAAATGTAAATGAATGTTGGTTGAAGAAAGCAGAGTTGGACTGTGGCCAGTTGTTGAGCAGAGGAGGAAGGAGTACAGGGAACTTGTGCTGTGCTATGGCTGTAACAGTCAGCTCATGGTTTAGTTAAATGGTACAGGACTCACAGACTGATGGAATTACAAAACGTCTGGCAAAGTATGAAATCAACTATAGACCATAGTAAAACTTTACTTCTCAGGCATAAAATGTGTTATACTTGTGTTTTCCATCATTGTTTTCAGTCATTTTTTTGTGCAGTCTTTGTGTGAAATGTTAGTGGCCTGATAAGTTTTCACCCGTATATTAATTTCAGATTAAACTAGAATAGAGTAACTAAGATTCTCAAAACATCTTAAACACCAGATTTGTTTCAGTTCACTTTTAAACACCAACCTATAAATTGAACATGTTTGTATGCCACTCTCAACTGTATGATAGTTACATATTAGATAGGTGAAGTGACACTAGAATTTAAAACAGTCATTATACATCAGTATGTTAGACAGGAAGTCCAGAGTGTGGATCATTTGTTTTCAAAGGACAACCCCAAGAAGGCGACATAAAAACAGTCACCTGTCATTCAACAACCTCAAACATGACTTATTTGAAACATGTAAGTAGCCTAATGTTAGCCCCTTAGCATGGCTGCTCACTCTAATGTTCTCATGGTTGTTATTCACAGTCGTTACAGCTTCATCAGAGTTGTTAGCAGGCAGCTCACCTCATACACATGCTTGTAAAATTAATATTTTAAAGGAAAGGCTTATTATTACAGTTTTGTATTTCTCTGTAATGTAGTTAGTAATGTTACTTGAACCCTGGACTCAAACCATTTTCTAATGCCCCACAAAAATATACATCTAAATTATTAAATTAATTAAAGTGCAATGACTAGTCAACTAATGGCTATCAGTCAACCAGGAAAATTTCTGGTCGTGTGCAGCTCTAATGGAAACACACTTCAGCATTTAGGAAGACTGATGAAAGAAAAGCGGTTTGAGTTGCAGTAGCTAGTGGAAGAGAGGCAATCCCAGACTTGATGTCATGACTTCGTCTCTCGGGTCAGTTGGCACTTGCTCACATTGAAGGTTGAAGCCCTTAATATGTAGTGAGCACACTGCTATGGGTACCTCCAAATGTTAGCATGGCAGTAAAAGAGAAAGCAAAGTTTTTGTACATTCCTGCTTTGAAATATGTATATTGTTCAGTGTTTCCCACAGGTCTGAAATATACTTGCGGTGGTAGCCGCAAATGGCTGGTACTACCTGCTGGCACAAAAATGGTCTGCTACATGTAACAAACAACAAATACATGTGACGTTTAACAAAATATTTTGTTTTATTGAATATTTCTATTAACTTCACATAATATACTTAATAGATCCAACCCCCCAACCCACCCCTCCATCTACCCACATGGGAAGTCGATGGGTACGTATATTTAGCCAGGACAACTTCGCTGCATGTGTAGCTACCAACGCAGCATAGTTGCCGCTTTCTTTCATAGAATTCGAATTTAACTACCAAGTCAGAAAACAATACACAATCAAAGAAAAGGGCCCAATTCCAATACGGCCCCCCCCATCCACCCACCCTCAATCCGTTTGCACGTTCGTGTGGAGGGTCCGCCACATTGAGTGTTGTTCCAAACTATGGGAGTGGGTTATAAAGCCCTCCAACACCAAGTCTGCATCAATGCAGACTTACAAACCACCCTCGCAGACGAGTGCAGCATGGCTTTGAGTCCGGGATGGATGAAATGCCATATACCTACTAAGGACAAGGATTAAATTGCCTCAGACAGACATTCAATAGACTATTCTCATGCACACATGATGAAATTAGAGGTTACATGTATTTTGGAATGAACATGCCGCTGTGTACCTGAAAAATGGGCCGTGTTTTTTTTTTTTTTTTTTTTTTTTTTTTTTTTTTTTTTTTAAAAAAAAACTGTGGAAAAAAAGAATAAA